TGCGAAATAGTTAAAAGAACGGAAACTCCGGCTATAAAACATGACCGAAGTAGGAAGCACCTGGTGTTGTAGGCATGTACGACAGCAACAACACCACGAAAAAAGGCAATGTACAAAGAAAACTTGAAGAAAAAATAAACTTTGAAATACAGAAAACAACAACTAAGAGTAGAAAATAAATTGTAATAGGATCTTTCATGGAGTATTCAACTATTAACAGCGAAACCCTTAGTTAATCTTGTATAAATTGCATGGTGTGAGAGTAAGAGGTATAATAGGAAATGTGAATGTAATTTATGTTGATTTTTATCCTTGAATCTATGAATTTTTTCCATATCAATTTATTTGTTTTTGGTTAAAATAAAATAAAATTACACACACACTTGCATGTACTTACTTGGAATTTGGCAACATGGATATTAGCATGGTTAAAACACTAGCGGGCTCCAAAGTGCCTTGCTCCACCAAACGCACAAATGTCTGACAGCTCATAAGACCCAATTGTACATTTTCAGCTTTACATTGTGATTTTAAAAATTCAATTTCCTTAATATTATGTTCAGCAACTTTCTTTTCACGGCTTTCAACAATTTTCTTAAAGATTTTTTCCAAACACGCTGATATCTTTACCACCGAAGTGCTGGGTGTAATAGTTTTAAACTCCTCCATGGGATTAGCTTTAACGAAAAGTAGTAAAACCGCTTAAAAATGTGTTTTTCAATTAAGAAACTTTCTTATAATTTAGTTAAGTTATACCAATTAATTTTCAATTTATTACTTTTTTTTCAGTTGTGTTTTGGCCGAAAAAAATGTTGTTAGGTCTTCCTAATACATATTTTTTGTTGGCAGACCTCCACGTAGGCTACCGTTGTTTAGTTATTTCGATGTGTCTCCTTAAACGTTTCTCTTAACAATGACTAGAATTTTTATAAAAGTTCGTTCATTTGTAAACTTACTTGCAGTTTATTAAGAATTTAAAGCGCAAGTCCTTAATTATTGGCCAATATTCTTAACGTTGGGAATTGTTGATGTTTACAAATAAATATTGTTTAGAAATATTGGTAGTAAAACTGAAGAATAAACAAAAATATGCAACAGTTTGTTGTGAAAAGAAAATTGCAAAATTAAATAATCAGCTGTTAGTATTTGTTGTTGTTTAAGCACAAATACCGGTTGTTTACATGTGAAGTTGGCTGCAGTTTATTTGTACCAACAAGGCTTATATAAAAGGTGGCACTGCAGGCAATGTCTGACATTATTTTTCATAGACAACTTACTTACAAAAGACAAACATTTGTTCCTATTTACACTACAGGGAAATCTAGTAATTATGAGATTTCGAGCAAATCCAGTTGATTTTTACTAGATTTCCCATACAAAACTAAATCTACTTAATTTGTAGATTTCTGTTTTTTGCCATATAGTACTAAAACATACGACGCTGCAGAAAAAAACAATGACAATTGAAACAAAACAAATTGAAAACAAACTAATTTTTCAAAAAAAATTCCTACAAAACAGAAAACATGAATGAAAAGTGTTTTGAAGGTAAAATAAAACGTGATATTTAAATGCCGAATTCTGTACAATAAGAAAAATAGTAATAAATACTTTATAAAATAAAATCTAGTATCCTTGAGATACATACTTATTATTATACCATTGATCTTAGCAGAATCACTACCATACACCCATAATAGAGCGCGATGTCTGTCAGGTGTGCCTTTCAGTGAAGCTCTTGTTGTCTCCAAACACTATGGTGGCCGAATATTTACAAGAAACAATTGTTAAGCCGTCTTTTATACAAATTTATAGCTTTGTAGAGAATGTCTTCACGGACCTAGAGGATAGAACCTGGCTAGGTATGTAGATGTTGTTTGGGCAAAATATTGGTACTAACCATTGTGGGCTTTAAGTCGACTTTAGATCCCTTATAGTTGTCACACTATACCAAATAAGCATTCTTGCTGGAATTAAAGTTTAAAACAAGTTTAATTCCAGTCAAACATTCAAATTTCAAGTGTTGAAATTCACTTTCATTACACTTTAATTCAATAGAATTCTCCAGTGAAAACGAAACTTGAATTCAAGTCGAACATTAGAATCTTTTTACAGTATAATTCAATGCACGAAATCTATATATGTACATACATACGTACATATATAAAATTCTAACGTTACTGACTGACTGATTCATCATCGCACATCCTAAACGGTTTTAGCTAAAGAGCTGAAATTTGGACAGGAGGTTGGTCTCCCACCAAATAGATCCACTAAGACGGGATTTTTGGAAATGATTAGGGGGTTAAAAAAGGTAAAAACGGGTAAATTCGGTAACCTCATATCTCCTAAACTATAAAAGATACAAAAACAGTTTAAAGCTTATCGTCATTCATTTAAAAAATAAGCGGACAGGTGTCTGGTACTTTTTTCAAATTCGGCTCCTTTGGGGAATAAACGGGTAGAAACTGTAATTTGGTACTTCTTTTGCACCCCATGTATCTTTTAAACCAGAGAACATTCAAAAAATATTTTTGAATCCTTCATAACTTGACGAACAAATAAAAATATGAATTTAGTACTTTAAGGGGTGAAAATTGTACCTATTTTTGGTACTTTTTTATAAAACATTGTTTTTGGTTTATTAACTTATACATATGAATACAAAATAACGGGCTCCCAATACGATGTTACAACTGGTACTTTTTTGACTTAGAACTTAGAAACATGTAATTAAGCATTTGAGAATCTATAAAAGTGGACTTTTTGGTACTTTTCGTTCTTCAAAAGGTACTTTTTGAGTTTTCTATAAATTGAACATAGAAAACATGAAATTATGCACGTAGAGCATGGAGTAAATGAGCATCTATAAAATGGCACTTTTTGGTACTTTTTCGTTCTTTGACTGGTACTTTTTGAGCTTGCTACAAAAATTTGAACCTCGAAACATGAAATTAAGCACTTAGAGCCTGGAGGTAAATGAGAATCTATAAAATGGGAACTTTATCGTACTTCGACTGGTACTTTTTGAGTTTTCCATAAAATTAAACCTAGAAACATGAAAATAAATATGTAGAGCCCGGAGTAAATTATAATTTATAAAAAGGGACTTTTTAGTACTTTTTCGTTCTTCGACTGGTACTTTTTGAATTTTTTATAATATTGAACCTAGAAAAAATGAAATTAAGAATGTACAGCCCGGATTAAGTGATGACATTTAAAAGGGGACTTTTTGGTACTTTTTCGTTCTTCGACTGGTACTTTTTGAATTTTTTATAATATTGAACCTAGAAACATGAAATTAGGAATGTACAGCCCGGATTAAGTGATAACATATAAAAGTGGACTTTTTGGAACTTTTTTCGTTTTTCAACTGGTTCTATTTGAATTTTCTATTGTAATGAACCTAAAAACATAAAACTAAGCAATCAGGGACTTGAGTGAATGAAAATTTAAACTGGAGTATTTCTGGTAATTTTTCGTTCTTTAACTGGTACTTTTTGAATTTTCTAAAATATTGAATATATAAACATAAAATTAAACACGCAGTATCCTAATTGAACGAAAATTTTTCTCGCTTACGTCCATTTTGCAAAAAGAGCTCGATATCAATCGAAATCTCTATAGGCCATAATTGACCCTGTCCCCTTCATTAATTGATTTTAACGAAAATATGTAATGCAAATATGTATGTATATGAAATCTTCTTGAGAAAATGACTTAAACGCAATAAATGGATTTCAAATGTCGATGTCGACGAAAAAAACATTTTTAGGAACCGAAACCTACATTTATGAAAATAAAGTTATGAGGATCGGTCCGCCAATATAACCCTCTTACAGAAATCAGTTTATAGCTAATACATCATTCCAAAAGTTATAATTAAGATAGAATTATGGTAGAATTAAAAAAAATACTTTAAATTATATATATTATTGATCCAATTCCACATTTAAGTCCCTAATCCGAAAATCACGGTGACGTTCTTATTAATCTAATGATCGGACCACTTCCGAAATTTGCTTTTTTACGACATATGATTTGCCGAATATAACTCTTACTTCTTACTTAATTTAATCATAAATTACCGCTAAAATAGGAATAGTCTGCCTTAGAGTTGCGAGTTTCATACATTCTAATAATGTTTCAAAGTGAAACTTTTGGAATATTTTTCAATCTCTTTGTGATCCCTTTAAATGATGTTGTTCTGGAAGAACTTTAACATCCATGTAAACATTTTGGGTAATAAATCGGGGGACTACCAATGAGGGGAGCGGAACCTCCCATATGAATTAAATACAAAAATTCGTTTATCTGGAAAACTAATATAACTAAATTCTTCAAATTTTGCACGAACAACTTTAATATTCATCTGAACATTTTGGAGAAAAAAGGGCGGACTTTCATCTGGGGGGCTTGGAGCTCCCATATGAATTAAATAGAAAACTTCGTATATCTGAGAAACTATTAGATTATTCGAAATTGCAAAAATTTGCGTGGAATCTCCCATATGTAACAAATTGTATATCTGGAAAACCATTGTAGTTAGAATCATCAAAGTCGTTAAGTGGGTTATATTGCTTTTAGGGTAGCACAGCACACTGGGTATAGCTAGTAAATAAACAAATAAAATATCTTTGTTTTTACGTTATTGATCATTTTCTTAATGCAAAATTTTTTAGAAACTGATTTTCTGCAAGATGTTTTATATGGAAGATAGGCTTAAATATCGGCAGATCCTAGTAAAACTTGGAGAAAGGATTTGTTTTTAATTTTTAAGAATTTTTTATTCATCCCTGCATAATTTCTCACACAACTTTTGAGCTTGCTCTGTTTTGTTGTTATAAACAATATATTTGCTTCCAAAATCCCGCTTTCTGATCTCTCGGATTCCGTTTTTATTTAAAATCGTTGAAAAATTAAAAACTAAACGTAGTTGAAAACTTAGCCGGCTTACAGTCGATTTTAATCCGCCGCCGACATATTTAGTGTCAGTCGCGCCGACATATTTAGTTGTCGGCGCAGGGCTCTGCACATAACACTAACAACAACGTGAAATTGTTAATATTTCAATTCTTCTCAAAAATAAACAAAAAATATGGACAATTTAGATAATAATAATCAATTAATAGAGGATGTATTTACCACAAGTGAAAAATCACTAACTGATGATGAAAAACAAAAGCTTACGGAACAAAATAAACGATTAATACCCGAATTTAAGGCACGTCAACTAGAGGCGCAGGCACAAAAACATTGGGATCTTTTCTATAAGCGTAATGAAACACGTTTCTTTAAGGATAGACGATGGACAACACGGGAGTTCCAAGAACTAATACAAGAAGATGTGGATGCATCCAGTTTACAGGGATGTAGAAAACTTTTAGAAGTTGGCTGTGGTGTTGGCAATTTTGTGTACCCACTAATGGAGGAACTGGAAGCATTGGGTCAGTTAAACAACTACTTCTATGCCTGTGATTTTTCACCACGTGCTGTAGAGTTTGTACGTTCCAATCCTAAGTATGATGAAAATAAAATTAAAGCATTTCAATGTGACATTACCACGCAAACCATACATGACAATATTCCCGCCGAGAGTTTAGATATAATATCTATGATTTTTGTTTTATCCGCCATAACACCGGAAAAATTTGACACTGTTATCAAAAACTTATATAAAGTTTTAAAGTCTGGTGGTATTGTGCTCTTCCGAGATTATGGACGTTATGACATGGCTCAGTTAAGATTTAAATCGGGACATAAAATTGCGGAAAATTTCTACATGCGTCAGGATGGCACAAGAAGTTATTATTTTGCTGAACAGGAATTGGCGAACTTGTTTAGGGATAATGGTTTCGAGATATTAAGTAATTGTTATGTTCATCGTCGTACATTGAATGTAAAGGAGGGTATTGATGTTCCTAGAATATTTTTACAGGGTAAATTTAGGAAATTGTAAGTTTAGTGTTTCTAAATAAATGTTCTTTTTTGGGTACAACAATTAGGTGTTTTCTTTCATTATTTAAATTGAGAAATTGTATCATTAATTAAGTGCTAATTCTGTCAAAGATTAGCAAATATTATTCATAAAATATGTATTTATTTCAATCGTACACGGACTGGGAATCAATGCGTATTACCACAAATTGTGGTAGATATTTATTTTATCTATAAATATCGAGCCCATTTCGCAGAACACGACAAAATCTACATTTTACCACAGAGCATTTTTTCGATCGAAAAAATTATAATTCTTAATTATTTACTTTGTTAAATAAAAGATCCTCATCTGTCTATCTAAGTAATTTGTTTTTTTTTTAATATATTTATTATCTTTGCAATTATTATATAGTTTTTTATTTGAATATATGTATATAGTGTATGGTTTTTATTCAATTTATATGCAATAGTTTAATTTTCATTTTCAATTGATAATAACATGAGTTTAATTTTTGTTTTTGTTTTAATTTTATTTTAATTAACGTTCAATAAATACATTTATGATGTTCATAAGTTTGTTTTTAAATTATATTTAATATACATAATATTTATATATATTTGGTTTTTAATTTTTATCACACAAATATATACATATATAAATATTATTTTATTAATTCACATAATGCCCACTGTTCTATTAGACAATTAAAATTAAAAGTATTAAAAATTATCATGTTAGAAATAATATGATCTAAAATGATTTCTTATAATTTAATTCTACTTGACTTATAGAACATGTTGGTGTATAAGTATTAAAGAAATAATAACTATTGTTTAACTGGCTAAAGGGATAGGGTTAACGAACGAACAATCACAATATTTATTCTCTAGAATTGCAATTTTAGATTTAAATAAGCAAAACTTTATTTGTTAAAAAAACAGCTGGTTATAGTCTAGTTAATAGTAAAGTCTATAGTCTAGTATAAAGTCTAGTCAATAGTCAAGTCTATAGTTAAGTCTAGTATATAGTTTAGCCAATAATCTAGTCAATAGTTCAGTGTATAGTTTAGTCAATAATCTAATCTATAGCTTAGTTAATAGTCTAGTATGTATATTGTTTGGTCTACGGTCTAATCCAGAGTCTAGTCAATAGTCTTGTCTATAGTCTGTTCTATAGACTAGACAATAGTGTATTCTATTGTCTACTCTCTACTCTATAATCTAGTCAATAGTCTAGTCAGTAGTCTTGTCAATAATCTAGTCAATAGTCTTGTCTATAGTCTCATCTACAGTCTAGTCTATAGTCCAGTCTATAGTTTACTATAGTAAAATAGTCTAGTCAATAGTTTATAGGTAGAATCTGATTAAAAGATAATATGAAACATTTAAGAAAATCATACTATTTTCGAACAGTCATGTACAAAATCATACTATTTATGAAGTTTTCTTATTCTGAATGAAAACGGTTTGTTAAAAAAACAGTCATGATGCTCTTTTCGTACTATTTACTACAAAATTCATTCCAGTTATGAATTGTTTTTCTTCTGCAGTATTTGTTTTTCAATAGAATGGTTTTCACAAGAATGTTCTAAAATAAACAATAAAATTCAATACGAAATTTTGAAAGTTGAGAAATTTTTTACAATTTGTACAAGATAATTAACTGCATTTTAAAAATTTTATTTTGTAAATAAATCTAAAATTGCAATATTAAAGCTAAAATTGTGTTGTAAACGATTTGTAATTGTTAATTTCTTCAATATCAATGTAAATGTTTAAACGGCCCGATCCTAAAATAAAAAATTACAATTTTATATTAATTTTGCTGAAAAATTAGCCTGGCGGCTTTAAAATGTATGTAAAGGAAATATTTTATATCTAAAATAATTAAAGAATATTCAATGACACGATTTTTTTTAGCCTAATTAACTATTTTTGAATGGATTATCTGAGAAGATTTTGTTTTTTTTTTGTATTGTTTTAGTAATTCGAAAGTTATATAATTTAATAATTATTTAAAAATTTATAATTAATAACAAATTTTTACAATAATAGTTTAAAAAATTATGTCTTAAATAATTTAAAATTATAAAAAACAACAATAAAATACTTAATTTATATTTCACAAAACTTTCTATTTATATAGAAGTTATATAAAAATGAAAACAAACAAATATACATATTCATGACAAATTGTTATTAAAGTGTAGTTGATATTAGAAAAACTGTAATAAAAGTTTTTAATTAAAGTGTTTTCATATAATAATGATTTTTATTTAATAAAAATTTTGTTAATCAAATAGAATAAAAACAATAAGTTTTAAATATTATACCTAAATAACAATAAAGTGATAGTTAAAGTGAAATAAAAAAATTGTCGTAAAGAAAATAAAACACAGAAGCTATTTAAGCAATAAATTATAATAATTATTATATAAGTATGTGTGTTTTTAGTTAATATATTTTCATTTAATTTAACACAAACTTAAGCTTGTTAACATAACGCAAATACATATGTATTTAGTACTGTGTTTTTTTTTTTAATTTTTAATTATTTTGTTCCATTTAGTTATACTTTTAAATTAAGTTCAACAATCTCAATTTATTAATCAACAAGTTATGTTTTTCATCAATTTTGTTTTTAAGTTTAAAATTAAAAATTTAATAAAATGCTCATACAAACGTATGGAATACCTTGTAAGTCATTGGCACAATAGAACAAAAAGTGCTTTAATCTTAATGTACATATCTATACATATACATAGCTATGTAATTTAAAAAAAAAATACAAACATAAAACAAAACACCTGCTTCACCCGTAAATAAATTAAATAAAAAAAAACAAACAAAATAAAGTCTTGTTTGTACCAATGATCACCATTAAATAAGAGATAATTTTGTATGTATGCTATTAAACAGGTGAAATTAGATTTTAACCATAATATAAGTAGCCTAGGCCACTGGAAGCCTTAGAAAAGCACTAATCCACAAGTGTATCATTCGTTTTTACCCCCACAATACCGGGCGTTGCACTGAGTGGTGGTAGTTCAATACTGGAATCGAAACTTTTTGTAGTTAACAGGTCACTGCTAGTTAAAGAGGTGGTAGTTGTTGTACTATTATTATTGCTATTATTTGTTAGACCACCAACGACACTACCGCCCACAACAACACCACCACCACCACCTCCTAAGCCTGAACTAACGTTTGTACCTGTTACAAGAGCACCACCATTTAAATCACTGTCAATGCTAAAACTGCCACTACCGCTTTCGTTTGCCAATAACGATTGCATTGGCAACATTTCCATGGTATCTAATGATTCGTAAGTTTTGCCCTTCACCGGTCCCGGACTCTTTTCAAACTCCGAAGAAGAGCTTTCCATTTGCAGTTGCATTAGGGAATTGCGTTGCATGTGTTTATCTAGTTTTCGTTGCGGTGGTTTAGTACTACTGTCTATGTTATTTGTGGCAGCATTGCCGTTTGTTTGATGAGCACCAGTTGTAGCATCGCCGGCATCCTTGTCTTTGTCCTTCTCTTTGCCTTTGGATTTTTTGAAACCTGCTATCAAGGCTTTATGAGCTTGGGCCTTAATGCCCTCCATGCTAGGTCGTATAATGGAATTGCGTGAACCTTGACCCGATTCCTTGCCTTCTTTGGCATTTTGTGTTTGTTCGGCAGTTTCTTCTGTCACACTGGCCAGCTGTTGAGGCGCCTGTGGCATTGTAAGATCTTGCACTTGGATAGGTATATCATCGGGTAATTTTTTCGTACGGAATGATGCATTTGTTATCATTGATTTTGAGACAGCGGTGGTTACAGTATTGGTGGATGGTGTTAGAGCTACGCTCAGGCCCATGGGACCATCACTGGGCTGGCCTGAGGGATTGGCATGCAGAGAGTTACGTACTGCACTAGTGATTAGTATCAATTCAGTGTACATTTCAAAGCACGCTCTATTATGTATATCTTCCAGTGTTTGGATGGCCACAGTACCAAAACCATTAAACATGGCAAAATAAATGGCATGCACTAATTCCACAAGGAATGCTGATGATAATGGAATGCGCGGTATCATGGATTTAGGCATTAGTGAAGGATCCGAGCTAAGGACAAAAAAGTTAAAACAAAAGTTTATATAATATACAATGAAAAGTAATGATTTATCTAGATTTTTTTATGATTCAAATATTATCGATTAAATTACAAACGTCCCATTAACCTCATTATATTATCACTTACCCATATGAGATCCTATGAGCATGAGTTGATTTCGTATTGAATCCTTCTGTCACCAATTGTGAGGACACTCGGCACAAGTGTATGAGTGCTGATTTTTGAGTTAAACTAACTTGTTGATTATAGCAAAACAATAAAGCGGTCATTATTCTCAAACGATTTTGGGCTGTAATCGCTTCGATGCGCTGATGTGGACCCCATTTTACTTCACGATTACAATTCTCTTCCCAGCGTCGCAAATCAGTCAATGGTAAATTCTTTTCTTCATGATACACAGAGGCCTGAGCTAGAATAGGCATACGAAATTGTACCACCCGTTCGCCCCCCTCCTCCGTAGACACTTCACCATTGTAAATGCAGATTAAAAGTGTTTCCAAACTACGTACACCTTTTTTATCACCACCGGCAACGGCATGCAGGTACGTATAGATTAGAACAGGTATAAATTGTAACGGGAACTTTTGTAATGATTTTTCGGTGCTACGATAGAAGGCCAACAACTGTTGGCAAATATCATGAACCAATGATTCATGCCTTTGACGATCATGCAAAATGGTAAAAATTGCTTCAGCTATTTCCGAATCACTGTCATGTTCATTGGCAAAATCTTTAACCTCTGAAGGTTGACCCTGTATACGTTGAAAATCCGTCAACCAATCTTGGACTATTGATTCTGCCATTACTCAGTATTCAGCACTCGAACGAACGAACACCTTCAATTATTTTACACAATGTCTGCTGCTGTTCAACAACAGTAAATAGAGGCAGTTTGGTTGACAACAATTTTTACTAAGTTTTTCTTTTGTTAGCAATAAAAATTACATATATTTTTTCTACTTTTTCACTCGTAATTAATCACAAAAATTGGTAAAATTTCTTTGGCTGCTTTTTTTTTTCTAAAAAAAAAAAATATTTTAGTTGTTTTGACGTAATGTTGTTTTTTCTCTTTTTCTCTGCACTTGTCTTTCTTTGACACATCGGGTAATTAAGCAGTGATGACTATGCAGCGATTTATTGCAAATAAATGGGTATAGTTCTTGTTGGAATTAATTGATGACATTATTTTTTAAGGTTTCTGAATCAAATAAAGTTAACAAAAGCTCAAAATATAGTAAATTACTTTATTTAAAATTTTATATGCATTAAAGTACACATTTTGCACTATGTATATATTTTGCTGTTTTGACAAAAACAAGTTATCAACACTAATAATAAAAACAAGGTGTGTTAAAGTGAACTTTGTTTTATATATGAGTCACCCCGTTTCAGAAAATTTGACAGCTATGTTATTAAAAGATTTATATTTTTCAGAGTTGGTAAATTTGTCTGTGGTACGAAAACAATATCTAAACAATATCCTTATAATTTATGTACTTAAGGTTCATTAAAAAATTTAATTGAAATTCAACAATTTTATTATAAATTTATTTTTTTTAATGAAAATTTTAATTTTTTAATCACAGCACTTTACATTAGAAATGGTTAATGCTATTAACACATCCATCCCTGTCATATGTTAATGATTAAATGTCATTTTGACATTTATGTTCTATATTCGTTTTGTCCCGCACAGTCCAACAGTAATCACACGTCGAAGTTTTTAATATATTTCGAGTGAAATTGCATTTAATTAATTTCTGTATTTATTTTACTCCTTTTATTTCTATCTTCTAAGTTGAATTAAAAATTGACAGTGAAAATGTCTACAAGAACAAATACCATTCAACACAATACAAGTGGTAGTGCCAAGTCCTCATCAATTAAAGAAATTTGCAATAGAGCTTTGACAGCAAAATCTGAGTGGCCGGATAAGGTAAGAAAATTTTTTCGATAATCATGAAAACATGCTGGCAGTGTTAATTTATCTGGTTATACAAATAAACGTATTTAAGCAATAGATAATGAAATTGCCCAGTAACTTCCAATTGGAATTTAAGTGCTTATTTATGTATGTGTTTAATTATATGTATCCACTTTTTTTACTCTAGGATGAATTTTTGGATGTCATCTATTGGTCCCGTCAAATTTTTGGCATTATTTTAGGTGTAATCTGGGGTATTGTACCACTTAAAGGCTTTTTAGGTTTAGTATTGTGAGTATAAATGAAAACAATGATCTCAAAAGCTAATATCACTAACATTCCTTTTATTTTTTTCAGGTTTGCTGGTATCAGTTGTGCTGTCGTTTACATTTATGCCATTAATTTTCAAAATATTGACGAAGAAGCCTATGGCGGTGCTTGGGAATTGATTAAAGAAGGTTTTATGACTTCGTTTGCTGGTTTTCTAGTAACGTGGATTATTTTCTATACCGGTCTTCATTACGATGCCATAATGGAAGCCAAAGGTCGTTAGTCCTACCCTTATAACAAAAGAACTAAAAAAAAGCAATTCACAAACATAGATAAATAGTAGTAGTTAATATAAATTGATTCCTGTTTTAATTTGTCCATTAAAAGTAAATGAATGATTCCTTACGCCACAAAGAAATTACAAATTTAACAAAAATTATCATAAAATATTTAACAACCTATGTTAAACTATTTTCATTTGTAACATAAACTTGTTTCTTAATTTTTAAGTCATTCTTGCTTTTTTGTTTGTAATTGTTTCTTAAAATATAACAACAAATTACTCTTCTAATATAGCCAATATATACTTACTACTCCTCTTGAGAAATTCTTTATTTTTCTATGAAAAATTTGGAAGAAATAAAATGGTTTATTTTAAAATAAAAAAACTTCTTTACTTCATTGGTTCGCTTGTTTATATTGTTCACTTTGAATTCACAGAAAACTAAATATTTTAAATTAAAAAGATGTTTTAAACACTAATGTTCCATTGCCACTTCTTGTGTTGTACTATTATTAGTATTACCATTTTGTGTGGAACCATTTTGACCTAAAACAAAATTATCGGGTATTTGACCACTTTGCAAGATTTGTGATAATCTTTCTACTTCTTGCAATGAACTGGCACGTTTGATTGCTTCCCTAATGCGTTGCAAATCTTCTGGATTGGCAAACCGTCCACCCGCACTGCCAGTTGATTTACCCGTTGCTTCCGCTAGTGCCGCTGCTGCAGCACTTAATTTCGATTTTTTAGCTATTTCCTTTAACATTTCTTTACCCTGTTTAGAACGGAAGAACTCCAAAGCAGTTTTGCGATCCTTTTGCTTGATTTTCCTAAAATCCAATAAGCGTAAATGTGGAAATTTATAAGCCATATACTCTCTGTAGTAAGGTTTGGTAGACACCGGATTCATAAGCAAACACAAGGTCTCTAAATGTGTTAGTTGTGCCAGAGGCTCCAAATCGCCCAATTCCTGCAAATTATTGCCGCTTAAAATTACCGAATTTAGGTTAGGCACACACTCCTGCAGATCATCACCTATACGTAGTATACGATTATTATTCAGTAATAAACACTTCAGACGTGGTAAATAGGGAAGACCATCTAATTTTCTGAGATCATTGTCGGACAAATCTATTGTATCGAACTGGTCAAGCGTGGCTCCCAAATTTTCAATTTGTGGTATCTTATAGCCGCGTAAATCTAATTCACGTTCTCGACAAGGGTTTATAAATTGCATTGATTGATTTATAAGTTCGGGTGTTAATTTCACCATTTTGTAAAGTATTTAAAGGATATTTACGAAATAATGTATTATTTTGTGAAAAAATTGTAAAACTTTTTGGATAAAAACAACAGCGTTCTTTTAATTCTTCTTCTTGCAAAAAAATCATTCACTGTGAAGTGAGAAACTGTCAAACTATAGTTGAGAGAGTAGGGTTAACAAGGTGATAAAAACTGCTACATGTGATTAAAATCGCTGAATACCTTATATTAGAGTTCTGGCAACTTCAAGTTTTTCTCTGGTAGCACTTCAAACTATTTGTGTTTGTAGCAAACACGAAAAATACATTGTTGTTTGACAAACCAGTATTTCCTATTTCTTCAAACATATGTATTTCAAATGGGACATCAAACAGAATCTGTTTGAAGGAAAAATTCTGCAATTTCATCTGTACATTTTTAAGGAAAAAGGGCGGACATTCATCTGGGAAGCTTGAAGCCCCCACATGAATTAAATAGAAAAATTTGTATATCTGAGAAACTATTAAAGCTAGAATCAAATTCAAATTTTACATGAAGAACTTTGACATTCATGTGAACATTTAGAGAATAACGGACGGACTTTCAATGAGGGGATTGAATTAAATAAAAAATTTCGTATATCTTGAAAACTGTTAGATAATTCAAATTTTTCATAGAAAGATAGAAATAGGCGAACTGGATAACTATTGTAGTTAGAAATTTCAAAATCGTTAAGTGGGTTTTTTTATATTGCTTTTAGGGTAGCTTTAGGTAGCAAAACTAGCTATAGCCAGTATAGCTAGTTTTCAATAAAACAAAATAAATGTTTTTTTTTTTAATTTTATTTTTATTTTTTTAATTACTAAATTTTCTTTTTCGAAAAATTTCAAAAATGTTTACATTTTATTGTGTATTTGTTTATTTGGGAGTGTGCTGTTTTTTCTTATTAACTTAAACATCGTTTAATTTAATTTATCGATTTTGTGTTTCTTTTCTTTTTCGCTTTAGTCTGAAAATTGTCGTTGAAATTTTTTGTATGTTTTATTTTCACAACTGGTGGGGGCAGTTCTTTTTATTTTTATATTTTAATAACTTTCATTAGTTTTCAAAATTCATAATTTTTGTTGTTGTTGTATAATAATTTTGTATTTTCCATTTGTTTTCTTAATAAGAAAATTCGTTTTTTACTAAATATTTTTGCTCTTTAATATTTTACTTTGTGCTACAAAAAAGAAAAAAAAAACTAATTTTTCAAATTTTTAATTTAATATTTAATTTGGTGTCTTTTTTTGTTTTTCATTATTAATGCTTGCAAAAACTACTTCTACTGTTGTGAATGTTTTGTAAATAAAAATTTTATTAACATAATTAAGGGAGTTTAATATTTTTCTTATTAGAAAGTGGAAAAGTTGTAAACTTATTTAAATTTAGCACTTCTAAGTGTTAATGTCTAAAAATGGAGTTTTAAAAAGATCGAAAATCTAGATTTCTTTTTAATTGTTTCAATTTTACTTATAAAGTCTGCAAAGTAATTGTTTTTCATAAATAGATTGAAAATTTCTATTATGAACAAAAATTATTTAAAAAAAACCTTGGCACTTAATTGCAATTATGGAAAATTAAAGAAGAAATAGTAAAAAAACTAGAAGGTGTACTGTAATATCAGTTATTTATGTTATGTACGATTGGTTGTTTGTTTTATTTTTGTTTTTGTTCAATAATTATAATAATTAAAAAAAAAAAGTATAAAGACTTATAGACAATTTACATAAATATGTATATTTTAATATAAAAAGAAGACCACAAGGGGGAAAGTTATAAATTATAGTATAAAAATATGTTCGTTTGTTTCATTTAAATCTATATGCATGTATATTGTTTTTGTTTAAATACATTTTATAAATAATATATTACAAAATAAAAATGGAATACTTTATTTTACTTAAAATATTAAACTTAAAAACTAAAAATTAAAAAATAATAATAAAAATAAACATTGTAATAAATATTACACGCCAGTTAAGAAAAATACTAAAAAAAGTAGTAGAATAGAAAATTGCACAGTTTTGGAAACATATTTCGTTAAAGTAAAAAGTTTTAACCAAAATTTAAGGCGTTTTTTTATATATAAAAAAATATTTATTTATTGTTTTTGCTTGTTTTTGGTTTTTGGGGAGATTGTTTTTAATTTTCTTAAATTGTTGGGTTTTATAAATCAACGACATCCTCTTTGGTATATTGTGTATCTCTAAAAGTCCGTCGTATAGAGGATCGTTGTAGGCCTTCAACTAATTTCTCCTATAAAATATATTGAAATTTTATATAATACAAATATTTTAGCTTAAAGTGATGTATAACATAGTTTTGTATTTATTTATTTAAACAGAAAAAAAAACAAATAACGTTAGACATATAAAATGACATGCAGCTGTGTTTTGTTAATGTAATGTTTTAGTTTAGATTAGAGTTTTTAACACAATATTTTAAAATTACAAAAACAGTAAAAAATACATTAATTTTAAAACAAACTCAAAACAGATAGGACTAATAATAACATTAAATAATTATGGTGGTCGACTAGACTAGTCTATAGTCTAGTCAACAGTCTAGTTAATAGTCTAGTCTATATTTTGTCTATAGTCTAGTCTATAGTCTAGTCTATGGTCTAATCTATAGTCTAGACTATATCTTGTCTCTAGTCTAGGCTATAGTCTAGTCTATAGTCTAGTCTATAGTCAAGTCTATAGTCTAGTCTATAGTGCAGTCTATAGTCTAGTCTACATTCCAGTCTATAGTCTAGTCTATAGTCCAGCCTATAGTTTAGTCTACAGTCTAGTCCATAGTCTAGTCCATAGTCTAGTCTATAGTCTAGTCTATAGTCTAGTCTATAGTCTAGTCTATAATCTAGTCTATAGTCTAGTCTATAGTCTAGTCTATAGTCTAGTCTATAGACTAGTCTATAGTCTAGTCTATAGTCTAGTCTATAGTCTATAGTCTAGTCTATAGTCTAGTCTATAGTCTAGTCTATAGTCTAGTCTATAGTCTAGTCTATAGTCTAGTCTATAGTCTAGTCTATAGTCTAGTCTATAGTCTAGTCTATAGTCTAGTCTATAGTCTAGTCTATAGTCTAGTCTATAGTCTAGTCTATAGTCTAGTCTATAGTCTAGTCTATAGTCTAGTCTATAGTCTAGTCTATAGTCTAGTCTATAGTCTAGTCTATAGTCTAGTCTATAGTCTAGTCTATAGTCTAGTCTATAGTCTAGTCTATAGTCTAGTCTATAGTCTAGTCTATAGTCTAGTCTATAGTCTAGTCTATAGTCTAGTCTATAGTCTAGTCTATAGTCTAGTCTATAGTCTAGTCTATAGTCTAGTCTATAGTCTAGTCTATAGTCTAGTCTATAGTCTAGTCTATAGTCTAGTCTATAGTCTAGTCTATAGTCTAGTCTATAGTCTAGTCTATAGTCTAGTCTATAGTCTAGTCTATAGTCTAGTCTATAGTCTAGTCTATAGTCTAGTCTATAGTCTAGTCTATAGTCTAGTCTATAGTCTAGTCTATAGTGCAGTCTATAGTCTAGTCTACATTCCAGTCTACATTCCAGTCTATAGTCTAGTCTATAGTCCAGCCTATAATTAGTCTACAGTCTAGTCCATAGTCTAGTCTATAGTCTAGTCTATAGTCTAGTCTATAGTCTAGTCCTATAATCTAGTCTATAGTCTAGTCTATAGTCTAGTCTATAGTCTAGTCTATAGACTAGTCTATAGTCTAGTCTATAGTCTAGTCTATAGTCTAGTCTATAGTCTAGTCTATAGTCTAGTCTATAGTCTAGTCTATATCTAGTCTATAGTCTAGTCTATAGTCTAGTCTATAGTCTAGTCTATAATCTAGTCTATAGTCTAGTCTATAGTCTAGTCTATAGTCTAGTCTATAGACTAGTCTATAGTCTAGTCTATAGTCTAGTCTATAGTCTAGTCTAGTCTATAGTCTAGTCTATAGTCTAGTCTAGTCTATAGTCTAGTCTATTGTCTAGTCTATAGTCTAGTCTATTGTCTAGTCTATAGTCTAGTCTATAGTCTAGTCTATAGCCTAGTCTATAGTCTAGTCTATAGTCTAGTCTATAGTCTAGTCTATAGTCTAGTCTTTAGTCTAGTCTATAGTCTAGTCTATAGTCTAGTCTTTAGTCTAGTCTATAGTCTAGTCTATAGTCTAGTCTATAGTCTAGTCTATAGTCTAGTTTATAGTCTAGTCTATAGTCTAGTCTATAGTCTAGTCTATAGTCTAGTCTATAGTCTAGTCTATAGTCTAGTCTATAGTCTAGTCTATAGTCTAGTCTATAGTCTAGTCTATAGTCTAGTATATAGTCTAGTCTATAGTCTAGTCTATAGTCTAGTCTATAGTCTAGTCTATAGTCTAGTCTATAGTCTAGTCTATAGTCTAGTCTATAGTATAGTCTATAGTCTAGTCAATAGTCTAGTCTATAGTCTAGTCTATAGTCTAGTCTATAGTCTAGTCTATACTCTAGTCTATAGTCTAGTCTATAGTCTAGTCTATAGTCTAGTCTATAGTCTAGTTTATAATCTAGTCTATAGTCTAGTCTAGTTTATAGTCTACTCTATAGTCTAGTCTATAGTCTAGTTTATAGTGTAGTCTATAGTCTAGTCTATAGTCTAATCTATAGTCTAGTCTATAGTCTTGTCTATAGTCTAGTTAATAGTCTAGTCTATAGTCTAGTCAATAGTCTAGTCTATATTCTAGTCTATAGTCTAGTCTATAGTCTAGTCTATAGTCTAGTCTATAGTCTAGTATATAGTCTAGTCTATAGTCTAGTCTATAGTCTAGTCTATAGTCTAGTCTATAGTCTAGTCTATAGTCTAGTCTATAGTCTAGTCAATAGTCTAGTCTATAGTCTAGTCTATAGTCTAGTCTATAGTCTAGTCTATACTCTAGTCTATAGTCTAGTCTATAGTCTAGTCTATAGTCTAGTCTATAGTCTAGTTTATAATCTAGTCTATAGTCTAGTCTAGTTTATAGTCTACTCTATAGTCTAGTCTATAGTCTAGTTTATAGTGTAGTCTATAGTCTAGTCTATAGTCTAATCTATAGTCTAGTCTATAGTCTAGTCTATAGTCTAGTCTATAGTCTAGTCTATAGTCTAGTCTATAGTCTAATCTATA